CTCTTCTTCGACTGGCTGCAGACAGAAAATCTGGTCGTAAGAACTCGAGAAGATGATGAGGGCCGATCATTATTCACGTGGTCCCACTCTAGTGCAACTGACGTGGATGAAGTTCAAAAGGGGTCATGCTTAGACTATATTGCCACTTCGTCCGATCTTGCATCCTGTGGCACAAGCATTGACCTGAGTGGTTTCGATACAGGTCGCGAGAAAATCGATCATCTGCCTGTAGGAATCGAGTTCAAGACATGGATTGGCACGTCATTCCAGAACATGCCAAAGAGAAAGCCTCGTGTTGATGTGGACATCATTAACACGCCGGCAGGTGAAGCTATTTGCAAACAAATTGCAATGTCAATTCCGCAGATCCCGTGGGAAATTGATGCGACCTCACATGCGCAGATCTTTGAGGAGCATGTGAGTGACGCCATGTTACAATATTTCCCTAAGTCTAAGAGACAGCCAAAGAAACCCTTCCTTGATCAAGAAGCCATTCAGTTGGTCAGACAGAGACGTCTCACACAACGCTGGTTGAAGCAGTTAAAAGCCTTCCGTCGTCTGTGCCAGACATGGTTCTTCTTTCAAGCATGGAAGTACCATAAGTGTGAGGATTGCTCTTTGCCTGACTTTCGTAGCTGGAATTCAGAGGGAGGCAGATGCCAAGGGCAACTCGAGCTCTTTGCAAGAGATCTAATGAGAAAGTACCAGAATGTAGCAAAACACAAGCTGAGGGCCTATGTTTCAGATTCGGTTACAGTAGCCTCGCAAGAAGGATTAGACCATCTGTTCCAACGGCTGAGAAAGTTGACCAAATCTAGAAAACACAAGACTAAGTTCAGCTTACCAGCGCTACAAAAGCCGGACGGGGCAGTAGCCAATACGCCTCTTCAAGTTTATGAGATATGGGAGAAGCACTTCCAAGAATCTGAAAGAGGTCAGTTTGTTGATCCGATGGCCTTGCAACATGAACACCAAGAAAAAGCATTTAAGCGCTTTGTGGAGACCGCTCAATCCAACGAAGTGCTTACTTCGGCTGATGTCCCCACGCTCCAAGAGTGTGAACAAGCGCTATTGAAATTTGCCAGAAAGAGAGCGCCGGGACTCTCTGGAATACCAATCGACCTCTTGAGGAATGCTGCACCAGACTTTGCACGCAAAGCTTATCCGCTTGTGCTCAAATCCGTGCTACGATTTGAAGAGCCGCTACAGTGGCAAGGTAGCCTCATTGTGCCGATCCCGAAAAGCAATGGGATCTCACCACACGCAAAAGATTGGAGACAGATCAGTCTTCAAGAGGGGCTGGCAAAAATGACGCATAGAGCATACCGTGAGAAGTTGATGCCATACTTCGAGTCTTTTGCTTCCCCATTGCAAGGAGGAGCCAGAAGAGGCATGCCAACGTCACTGCCAGCACAGGCAGTACGATTGTTCCAAGGTGCTTGCCATCAGAGGAAAATCAGCTCAATGGTGATATTCCTTGACGCAAAGCAAGCATACTATCAAATTGCTCGGGATGTGCTATGGTTCCGGCAGTGGCCGTCAGATAGGCAAAGAGATTTTCTGGATCGTCTGCCATGTTCGGAGCACATGAAGCAGCAAATAGGGGAGGTATTTTCTGCTCGCTGTCCACTTGAACAATGTTCTGTGCCGAGCAAGATAGGGAATATCATCCAATCACTCTTTGAAGATGTGTGGACCACTATGGGAGTCAATGGCATGCCGTCATGCTCCATGACCGGGACACGTCCGGGAGACCCGCTGGCAGATCTCCTGTGGTCAATCGCATTTGGGAGTGTAATCCGACAGTTGAAGTCTGATTTTACCGAGCTTGATCTTGTTGTACAGCTTGACAGTAGAAGATTCACATGCCTTCCAATATGGGCTGATGACCTCTGTGTGTTAGTTTCGCATTCTGATCCATTCCGTTTGATAGAACTTGCCAGCATAGCTTGTAATCGCCTCTCCAGGGCATTCGCTAGCTTAGCTGTCGAGCTAAATCTCGGAAAAGGAAAGACTGAAATTATCTTCAGCTTCCATGGACTCAATGCCACTAAGGCCAAGCGCCAAGTTGCAATAGATATGGGCAATCAGATCCCATTCCAGGACTTTGAAGGCACAAATAGGTTCGTGCATATTGCTACTACCTATAAGCATCTAGGAGGGCTAGTGGGTAGAGCTCATCAATTTCGAACGGAAGTCCGCTCTAGAGCAGGGATTGCTGGCAGCGCCTTTCGAGCTCTGCGCAAGCATGTCTTTGCTAATCGAACTATCTCCAGAGAAGTCAAGCTGCACATTTATGACGCAATTGTTAGATCTAAGTTCTATCACCATGCGTCATGTTGGTCATTTTCGACGCAACAGGAATGGCAAGTGTTTGATACGGCTGCATTCCGGCTTTTGAGATCACTTGCAGTGGTCCTGCATGGACATGAGTGGAAGGAGGCCTCCAACGAGAAGATTGTTGCCAGATTAGGGGTTCGGCATCCGAGACAGCTACTGAGAATTGAAAGGCTGCGGCAATTTCAAAAGATTTGTCAGTTTGCTGATGCGGATTTCTGGGCAATCTTGGAGGGAGAATCAAACTGGCTCCATAATATGCTATACTCTGACCTGCTTTGGCTTAAAGAGAATCGTCTGTGCCCAGACTGGCTTTGTATTCCTGAAGCTTCGCAGGTTCAGGGTCTGGCTACATTGTTGGCAGACAAAGGGGCAGAATGGAAGACGCATCTCAAGCAGGTAGGAAAAGCATGTCGCCATCATGCTCAGAGGTTGCAGGAAGCCCATGAGTTTGAATGTAAAGCACTCCAGATGCTGCGACAAATTGGCGTCATTTCTTTCGAGCAGACACACAGTAATATGCAGAAAGCAGTCAAAGGTTCCTTCCGTTGCCAATTCTGTGATAAGATTTTTGGCACATTGAAAGCCCTTGGAGTGCACAAGCATAGACAGCATGAAGTCTTCTCTGCACAGTATTACTATGCGAAAGGAGACACATGCCCAGTCTGCTTAAAGTATTATGGCAATAGTGAAGCGCTTCAGCAGCACTGGCAATATAAGAGGGGCACATGCTGGAGCATTATCCAGGAAAGTGATCTCGACCCGGAAGATTTCGGAGGTGATAGAATTGCCAGAGAGCTCGAGATTCCGCCGCTAGCTGGAGTGCAATGCGCAGGACCCAAAGCATGGTGGTCTACACTCCGACCCTTGATGCAAGAGGAATCGTCGGAGGTCGAAGATGCAGAAGCATTCGAGGAAGCTGCAATCCATTACCTCCTCAGCCTTGCTCCTGTTGAAGAAGAACTGCACTCATTCTTAGATGGCGTTAAAAGTGCAGCATCCTTTTTGCTTCGCACCTTCGGCCAAGAGTATTTAAAGCAGGAGGGTGCAATAATTCGCATGGCAAGCAAGACCATCGCAATATGCTCTCCGGAACATAGAAGATACTTTGGCCGTGTCTGGGACGTCCTGAAAGGACTATGGCAACAAATCGCAGTTCCAACTGAGTCCCTTGACTGGAACGGACTCATTTGCGGCAATATAGCGTTTGTTGTTGATTGCAACTTTCGTGCATTGTCCTTGGACTGTGTTCCCAAGCAAAGAGCCAAATATGTGCTTCATTTGTTCAGTGGCCGCCGACGTGAAGCAGATATCCAATACTGGATTGAGGAGCTTGCAAGACAGACAAATCAATCAGTGATTTGCCTTTCGTTCGACCTTGCAATAGATGAAAAATGCGACCTACTAGATACGAGCGCACAGTCATGGCTGAGACAGATGATCAAAGCAGGTCGCATACTCGCGCTCATTGCAGGTCCGCCATGGTCGCGAGCGAGAGGAGTCTGCCTCAAAGATGAGAGCAGTGCCAGTCAGCCAAGGGTTCTTAGATCCAGTCAGGAACCTTGGGGAATGATTGGCCTGAGCCAGCGAGAACACACCCAATGCATCGTTGGCTCACGGCTCTTGCAGTTCACAATCATCCTCGTGCTCGATTGCAGCCGGGCCGCAACAGGTTGCTTGCTCGAGCGCCCGGATGAACCAGAAGACGATGCAAGTCTGGCGTCGATTTGGCGCCTGAAGGTCCTACGTGCAATGCTGGCGCTGCTACCTATGAGAAAGCTTCGAGTCTGGCAGGGACAGTTCGGGGCAAAGTCTCCAAAGCCCACAGCATTGATGGTTCATGGCCTTCGAACACTTGAAGAACGTCTTGAACAACAAAGATCGTCTGAGATGCCTGCAACTCGGTCGATCGGTCGCACGGCGGAGGGCATTTTCGCGACTAGTGAGCTGAAGGAATATCCTCCAAGAATGTGCTTAAGCATTGCACGTGCAGTTGTAGATAGCTTCAAAGAAGCGAGTGCAGGCAGTTTGGATCCCGAGGAGATTGAGCTTGGTGACGACGCCTTTCTTCAGGCGGCTCAATCTCCGTGGGATCCCTATTTCCCTACCGTTATGCATTCAGACTTTGGAAGCAGAAGGTAGGACACTCCGACCGCTTGGGTCGTTGAGAGAGGTTTCACCCCCACCCCAAAGAGGCAACAAGACAGTGAGTCTGCGTGCCAAAAAAAAAACTCTTAGGCCTTTTACCACTGGACTCTTAGGTGTCCTACCTAGGTTGCCATGTGGCTAGCCGCAATCAATCAGTACACATTTTCCCGAATGTGTTTGTGATTGTCTGCGTGCATTCCTGTTTTTTAGTGGTAGGGATAGACTGCAAAGACTGGGTGGCGTAGGTCAGGTGAGCTACTAAGTAGGCGACGTGCAGCCAAGCTTGGAACGTAGAAGGCCCCATGAGGGGGAGAGCTACTAGGAAGTGCATCGCTACTAGGAACAAGTGCATCACTACTAGGAGCAAGAAGCTATTATTTTAATTCTAATAGCTTTTTGTTACTACTAGTAAGGCACCTGTTACTACTAGCGTGGCACCTGTTACTACTAGGAAACAAGAATTCTTCGCATCGAACCACTTCGGATTTCGTGTTCCATCCGTTCCATGAGTGCAGGAAGAGTCTTCCAGCGAAGAGGAGGTACTTGTCTCTTTGCCTGTCTCTGCATGCTTTGTGTTGCTTTTAACGCGTTTGCGGGCTTGTCCTACCACGTCCGATATCAGGTTGGCTGTGTCCCTGCAATGTGTGACTTAGAGGCCAGATGAACTGATTTGGTCTAGTAGATTCCTTTGCTAGTAATTACAATTCTAATTAAATTCTTTTTGTTACTACTAGTAAGGCACTTGTTTCTAGTAGCGTGGCACTTGTTCCTACTAGTAAGGCACTTGTTACTAGTAGCGTTTGCCATCGGATGATCCAGACCACAGGTCGATCCCTCGGATGATGATCCAGATCGTCCAAGGACGGTTTTGGTGGAAAGACACAGGAAAGACACGCTTCCGTCGTCTCTTGTCGAGGCTCGCCACAGTCTCCGTCTCCGAGTTGTTGGTCACCACCAAAATGCATGCGATTGCGACCATGAACAAAAAGCCATGGGCTGAGATGAAGCTCAGCCTTCTCCATGTTCTATGATATGCAAATCATTGATTTTATGTTCTATTTTTGCGGACGAAAAGACATCAAAGGACGCCTTAGAACCTTCACCCAGCAGTCTCTGTGAGCGACAAGATCGCGTTGCGAATCGCATACGAGTCGCATCTGAGTCATTCTCAAGCGGTTTGGTGGAAGATGCAGAGAAGGGATGAGGCAGAGAGGCAGTGCCAGGCAGCTGAAGAGCTGGTTGTGGAATTGAGGTAGAACTGTGTAGAACTGTGGTTGGAGGCCATCGCTAGTAGGGTGGAGGCCATTCCAATTAGAAACCGAAAAGAAAAGAGGACAGGTCTAGTATAGTTTGCGATTAGGTTGGATTCGGTGAGTCGTTTGAACGACTCAGGACCAGAGGATGGGAAGTCGTTGGACATCTGCTCCCAACTTGCGAGCGCTGGGAGAAAGATCTGATTCTCAGCTTCAATCACCCTAGTAGCGTTCTTGTTCCTAGGAGTAAGGCCAGGAGCCCCTAGGCGCCGCTAGTAGCGTTCTTGTTCCTAGGAGCAAGGC